TAAATCTGTTATGTGTAGTTAGTGATTATCTGGTAAAATATTGTCATTAACATTAGAGAATGGTCTATGGTAAGATTTTTGCTTGATTTTGCCAGATTTTACATACTGCCACTGTAGTTTAGGACAAATAGTTGACTGAAACATAAATTCATAGAGACAATTATTAGCCTTTGCATAGGAAGCACTTAGTAATTATATAACACATATAGGGTCAGGAGGATAGTAATAATGTAACACATTTAGGGTCAGGAGGATAGTAATAATGTAACACATTTAGTGTCAGGAGGATAGTAATAATGTAACACATTTAGGGTCAGGAGGATAGTAATAATGTAACACATTTAGGGTCAGGAGGATAGTAATAATGTAACACATTTAGGGTCAGGAGGATAGTAATAATGTAACACATTTAGGGTCAGAAGGATAGTAATAATGTAACACATTTAGGGTCAGAAGGATAGTAATAATGTAACACATTTAGGGTCAGGAGGATAGTAATAATGTAACACATTTAGGGTCAGGAGGATAGTAATAATGTAACACATTTAGGGTCAGAAGGATAGTAATAATGTAACACATTTAGGGTCAGAAGGATAGTAATAATGTAACACATTTAGGGTCAGGAGGATAGTAATAATGTAACACATTTAGGGTCAGGAGGATAGTAATAATGTAACACATTTAGGGTCAGGAGGATAGTAATAATGTAACACATTTAGGGTCAGGAGGATAGTAATAATGTAACACATTTAGGGTCAGGAGGATAGTAATAATGTATCACATTTAGGGTCAGGAGGATAGTAATAATGTAACACACATAGGGTCAGAAGGATAGTAATAATGTAACACATTTAGGGTCAGAAGGATAGTAATAATGTAACACATTTAGGGTCAGGAGGATAGTAATAATGTAACACATTTAGTGTCAGGAGGATAGAAATAATGTAACACATTTAGTGTCAAGAGGATAGTAATAATGTAACACATTTAGTGTCAGGAGGATAGTAATAATGTAACACATTTAGGGTCAGAAGGATAGTAATAATGTAACACATTTAGGGTCAGAAGGATAGTAATAATGTAACACATTTAGGGTCAGAAGGATAGTAATAATGTAACACATTTAGGGTCAGGAGGATAGTAATAATGTAACACATTTAGTGTCAGAAGGATAGTAATAATGTAACACATTTAGGGTCAGGAGGATAGTAATAATGTAACACATTTAGTGTCAGGAGGATAGTAATAATGTAACACATTTAGTGTCAGGAGGATAGTAATAATGTAACACATTGTGTCAGGAGGATAGAAATAATGTAACACATTTAGTGTCAGGAGGTTGCTGGCATTGGCCTCTAGGTTATATCAAGTGATGCGTAAAGAGAAGTCTACTCTAACCATTAGTTTCAATTTTATATTTTGTTGTTTCTGTCAGTCTATGCTCTAATTTTGTCTATTGGTATTTAACTTCATTTCTTTTCTGTTGCATTCCCCATGTTTAATGGTCTTGTGTTATCGTAACTGAGGACTGTATGTCGGAGTTGGTTACATGGTGTCACACTCTGTGATGTGTACATCAGTTGGGTTAATCACTGTTGGATGAGTAATAGTCTTAGTGAGTAATAGTTAGTCTCGCCCTTGATGGCGGGGTACCTTAATAAGCGTAAAAGGCTTCCCGTGCCATTTAATGGTATATCAGATACATCAGACAATGGCATCCCCAGACAGGGATACCAGATTGGGCTACTTGTAGCCCAGTTGGGTTACCAATTAGGCTAATTGTATTCAATTAAAAAGCCAGCTATGTATGTCACTACTTGCTACTTTTTCGGGGACAGTTAAAATAAGCTGGGCTGTTTATTCTGAAAAGCGAATCAATCGGAAAAAAAATATTTGGCTAATTTTATTGTAAAGTTTGTGACATTTAGTTCTTCAGCTTGCGACTTTTGGCAACTCAAATATGGCACCCCTGTCCCCAGACTTATAAACTTATCTTAGGAATAGCAATTGGTGTGTAATTGACTACTAAGTCCAAGAGGGGTCAAAATATCATCCTGTTTTCATGTGAACTGGAGTTTAGTGTTAAGATATTTAAATAGATTCCCCAGGTTCGTTTAGTGTCAACACTTTTCTTCCTGATCTGTATTTAATATACAGTAATTACAAAGTGAGGGATAACAAAACCTTAAATACAGGAACTAGTTAGGATTACTGCAATAGCTATTAGCAAAATCAATTTACCAGAATGATACTTTTTAATCAAAATCATAATTCTAGTATCATTAAGTTTATCTAAAGTGTAACCTCCAGAATCCAGCCAACAGTTCAGTATATGTTTTGGACTATATCCAGATTTTGGTATATGTTGTCCCTTTTGGCTACAGTATATATATCACCACAGTTGTGGTAGTTTTCTAATAGCAAACGAGAGAGCATCTTTACTAATAGTTAAAACGACTATTTGTAAGTATGTAATGGTGTAGTATAACGATTTCTGTGGGTGCTACCTTCGGTGGGTTCCTGAGCACACCAGGCAGGTTGCTCAGGGAACCAGTCCTTACTCACCCACTGCAGTCTGTCTGAGCAGGGTTACACTGTACGTTTATCTGGAAGTGAAATACCAAGTTTTCGTGATGAATCATGACCTAAACTAAAATATTCGGTGATAGTATGGTGGCTATGTGTATATAAATGTTTTGTTTTATTGCAGCAATTCCAGTCTGGTTCCTATTTATCCTGGGGGTATTATTGAGATTTAGACTTTTTTTTTTTTTTTTTTTTTTTTTTTTTGAGATATATACAAGAGTTGTTACATTCTTGTAGAGCCACTAGTACGCGTAGCGTTTCGGGCAAGTCCTTAATCCTATGGTCCCTGGAATACGATCCCCTGCCGCGAAGAATCGTTTTTTCATCCAAGTACACATTTTACTGTTGCGTTAAACAGAGGCTACAGTTAAGGAATTGCGCCCAGTAAATCCTCCCCGGCCAGGATACGAACCCATGACATAGCGCTCGCGGAATGACTCCAAATTACAGCAATGAACGATTCTACATATAATGTAGTTATATGGTTTGGTTCCCCTTGTTGAGAGTAAGAAGCCCGTTAAGCTTATTGAGGTTTCCCTAGGCTAGCTACTGACCTTTCCCAGGATGCAACCTACAGTAGTTGCCCCTGTGCCTGGGTACCTATTTACTAATAGGTGAACAGACAAATAAAGTGAAAAAAGACATGCCCAAACATCTGTGTCCTGCCATGGAAATCAAACCTGGGACCTCTTGGTTGTGAGCTGGTTGTGCTGACCACTACACTACAGGACTCTTAGGTTAAGCAGAGTAGTGAATGAAAATAAATTGTCATCTATCCAGATCAGTGGTGCTCAAACATGTAGCACAAGAGTTCTGGGAAATGTTGGCATGAAGGACTTGATATGCAATTATTACCCGTCTCATTAAATGTTATTTGCTTGCGAGTCCTCTTAATATTCTTAGCTTTGTGTTGCATCGTAGCCGTCTGTGCATTAAGAATTAGAACCGTAAATGTCTCTTTTTGTTCACTTTTGTGATACAAAATGTTAGGAAAAGGTCAGTAATACATCTTGATAATGAGTACACTATATTTCATGAATGCTGGTTACATGTAGATTATTATATAATATTATAAGTGGAAGATGTTTGTGTTCTTCTACATATTGATACAATATCACATTAATAATCGGTATACTGATTTACTATTAATTAACACTTTCGCGCTCTCCGCAAAGGTCACTCAGCCAACCGAATGTGCGCGCTGCGTTTTTATCGCTTAAGCGTAAAAACAAAAATGTGTATACTCTTTTTACTCTTCTGACCTTAGTTCTCATGCTACGTATTTCATTTTGGTACCAACGTGTTCGCAATAAAATTCTCTAGAAGAACATTAGTAAAATAAGTCACGAAACATATAGGGATACCAGCACCAAATAAATAACTACGTAGATGACTCGCCGTGAGCGCCCATCAGCAACAAAATGTTTTTACTTTTGGGATTGTAATCACCTCCACACTTGTTCTACAGCGTTAATTTTGGTATCAATGGACTCGCAATGAAATTCCCAACACGGTGATATGAATATAAGCGTAGAATAATGATGCAGCCCGCCCGCAAGAGTGTGGGAAGTGGTGAAATTGTTACCCGGTATCGGTGACGGGACGTCGCACGGCGCTTTGAAAGTTTATACTTATTTCACTCTCATGACATTAATTTTCTATGTACGTCATTCATTTTTATGTCAATGTGTTCGCAATAGAATGTTCTATGTGCCCATAGGTAAAAAATATCAACAAAGCGTAAGTTAGAATAGCGACAAATATAAAACAACGCTGGAACATATCAGTGAGCGTCAAACACACACGAAATATTTTTACTTCTGTTATGTTTGTCAAGATTATACTTGTTGCACACAGTTATTTTTGGTTGTATATTGATCGGAATAAAATTCCCTAAACAGACATATGCATCTAATACATGATATGGGGGAAGAATTACCAGTATAAACGGCTAAAGTCACCCACCTGCAACCCGTTTGGGACAAAATACCATTTGATCGAAGTTATCCACACCTTTCATGAACTTATTGTACCATGCAGCCTAGTGGTGAGAAAGAGAGCCTCATAGCACGCAGTTTGAAACAAACCCAAAGTGAATCGCATAAAAATTGAATTTTATACAAATATTTTAAAAGTAGACATAACTTTATGTCCACTATGCGTTTACGTTAGACGAAACCGAACGCGCCGGCGCGTCCAGATAGCGCGAAAGTGTTAATAATTAATAATTATTAATTATTAATAATCATTAATAATAATAATCAAGGGGGAGGGGATTGGGTCAGAAATTGACCTGTTAAGTCATAGGGAAGCATGGAATAAAAATATTTTATGACCCACAGATTTTGGAGTTTCAATGTTTTTATCTTGCCAGGGAAAGCTGAAGTCACTAATTCCATTATGTATTCAGACAGAGATGTCGGTGAAGGAGGAAATACCGTATTTATTGATGCATCCGCCCTGGGAGAATTATCGAGTCAGCTGACCCAGCAGGACCTGGAGGCCCTTGTTGGATTGAACATTCAAGCTGCGGCTGACTTTGAGGCCCTTCAGGATGCAAATGAAGCACATGTAAGTAACAGTGCAGCTCTTATGAGGTAAGCCATAGGGTTTGTTATTGCTGTACTGTAACTATCTACTTATAAGTTAACTTAGTTATATATAGTACTGTACAGTACTTGTAAATCTGATCAGTATTTTTAGACTCTCCATACCAACTTGAAACTTGTAACACTTGTGAGCAAAAACTTTTGGCTGCTATTCATACTCGAACACATGGCTTATAAATGAAGTGTACTAAAACAGGAAGTTGTGCAAGCCACCTCCATCCACATCTTAAAACAGATACGGCGAAGAATTCAGTTATCAGGAACGTTAAAAAGGGAACTTTAAGATGCTGACTTGATTGCCCATTTCAAATGTATATAGTATATATATTTTCCTTCAATGGAAATGGCAGTCATTGGATTTTTGATTGAAAGATATTTTTTCTATGTCTGAATACAGCCTTAATTGTAAAATAATTCTATGCATCTCATATGTTAAACATAATGGTCAAACACATTTATATAATTTTTCTTTCTGCAGGTGGTAGACACAAGTGGGGTGCTGATATCAGATGGGGTCACCGTGGGTAATATTGTGGAGGTGTCGGGTGGTGAGGGCGTGGATGACCAACAGCAGATTGATTCACAATCCCACCACCACACATCCCACCACCAGCCCATGGAGGTGGATGCTCTCACGCAACATGCACAGGTTATTGGTAAGCTTTGTCAACATGCATTTATTCAGGATCTATGCAGGATCTAAGGGGCCATTATTATTCATGTATCTCGATTATCTTGAGATGATTTCGGGGCTTTTTAGTGTCCCCGCGGCCCGGTCCTCGACCAGGCCCCTAGGAAGCAGCCCGTGACAGTTGACTAACACCCAGGTACCTATTTTACTGCTAGGTAACAGGGGCATAGGGTGAAAGAAACTCTGCCCATTGTTTCTTGCCGGCGCCCGGGATCGAACCCGGGACCACAGGATCACAAGTCCAGTGTGCTGTCCTCTTGGCCGACCGGCTCCCTTGTATGCCAAAAATGAAAACTGGTTCGATTTCATTCAAACTTTTTTGATGTGTTGTATATGAAAAGGGTTTCATCTGGTCCAAGTCTCAGCATCGTAGCATAAATAGGAAGGGAGAAAAAAATATTGAATGATGTGTCAAAAATTTTCCAAAATGGTCAAAAACGATCATCAAACACGTGTCAACTGAAATCATGTCTATGACTCGGCTATCACAATATCATATATTACAAAAATATAATTAGTTTTATTAAAAAAAAATTAATTTAAAAAAAAATTTGATTTTTTTTTGTTTTTTTTTAAATTTTGCTTGATTTTGCCAGAGTATTTTTCTCATTTGTTTATCGGACAATTTGCATCAAACTTATACATCTGACTGCACGTAAGCCTATCTGTAAGGATGCCAATTTTAGAGGAAATTGGTTGATGTCAACCTCAATCACAGATGGCAGCACCTTAGACTTTATTATTTTCTTATTTATTTTCAAGTAACATAAAAATTCTTATAACTTTCATTTTTTATTCAATTTACATGAAACTTACACCTTATATGTAGAGTGTATGTCTCTAAAATCTGGCACAAGCTTTGCTTCCTAAGTTCATTTATTGATTTTATAATAGCAATAAACATGATATATTTTCATAATTTTAGGGGGGAACTTTGACTATTTGCATTAGGAAAACTAAAGATGTTTTGGAAAATCCCTTCCTAAAGATCCTTTATTATATGCTAATGTGACAGAAAAGTGTCATAGAATGATTATAACTGAAAGGTGTGGTTGTTTATAGACACTTGAAAATGTGTAATATTCATTGAAAAAAAAATACAAAAATTAAAAATCTCCCTTTCTATTTAGACTGCAGTACTGAAACTTGGAACAATTGCAGCTCTTTTCATATACAACTAGTCAAAAAAGATTTGTTGACATTGGACAACATTTAAAAAACTAACTGACGGCCCCTTGTGTTCCTGTTCTCAGTTGTTCTCTCAACGGGTAATATAATTAACAGCAAATTAAGTTGCTTATAGCTTTATACTTGTATGCAATTAGTGCTTGTGACAGGCAATGCTACTACGTCTTGACATGTCTATTTGTGCCTGGCACACTACCACCACCAATTTGCCCATCCTCCACCAGTTTGCCCCTCATCTGCCCTCGACCAGTTTCCCCCTCATCCGCCCTCGACAAGTTCATCCCTTCCCTGCCCTTGACTGGTTCACCCCTCCTCATCCCTAGACAAGCTTGCCTCTCCTCAGTCCTAGACAAGTTCGCCCCTCTCTGCTCTCAACCAGTTCGCCCCTCCTCAGCCTTAGACAAGTTTACCCCTCCTCTGCCCTCGACCAGTTTGCCCCTCTGCCCTCGACCAGTTTGCCCCTCTGCCCTCGACCAGTTTGCCCCTTTGCCCGCGACTGGTTCGCCCCTCCTCCACCCTCAACCGGAATTTCACCCCTCCTCCACCCTCAACCAGTAGTTCAGCCGTCCTCCGCTCTCATCCAACACATTTTAAATGTTCCAGAACAAGGTGACCAGGTACTCTGTCACTGTTATAGTGGAGACTTGTTGTCTTGGGAGAGGTATTTACATTTTGCTCTTTGCCTTGGGCGTATGTTTTTACTTGTAGCATTTGTCAGACTTTTTAGTTATTGTGCTGTAGGAGATATTACAGAAGTGAATGATTATAAATAAATGTTTACTTTCCACAAGGAGACATGGAGATGTTGCAACAAGGGAGTGAACTAATAACCATGACGGGGGAAGAGCTGTCGGGAGGAGATGGTGGTACGACAGCTGTACTTGCTACTGTTTCCTCTGATGGAGACAACACGTCACACCAGATTGTCACCGATGCACCCCAGATCATCAAAAGTAGCCTCGGCCAGTTTGTTGTTCTACAGCAAAATCAAGTGAGTGCTAAAGTCTTATATGTTGTTCATTTATTTTCTTTCAAATTACTGTTTTTTAATGATCCTTGGAAGATCCCAAGGTAACCACAAGTCTTTTTAGAGATGAATAAACGTTAAAAAATTTATAACTATCCACAGAATGTGAAAATTACTGATGCTAACAGGTGGAATTTATTAGGCAAATGGGATGTATGGCTAGATTACTCCATACAGCATTCCTCCAAGCTGCACTTAAACTGAGTTTAGCCAATCTCCATAATACCCAATGCCTGGATGCAAAATCTGTTTGTGCATAAACCAGTGACAAATTACCAGTCATCCATCCCTGACTGCTGTACTAGGAAGAGTACCAGATTAATAATGCTTTAGTTCTCTGAAATCTGACCTAGCATTTACAAGCAGACAGCAAAAGACAAGGAATGCCATTGACAAAAAGAAAAAAGAAAAGAAAAAAGTACCACTAATTGAGAAGGCATGCAAGACTGAGTGTGTACCTGCGCACATGGAAAAGTGGCTCAACATACCCAGAGTACAGCAACAAGATAGGGGAACCTCGGTTTTCGAATGCCCGTTTTCAAATTTTTTGGTTCTCGTGCTCAATTTTTTTTTATAAAAATTCGACTTGGTACTCAAGGTTTGCCTCAGTGCTCGAGTTCGTTGATACATGTATGGGCCAACCGAGCGCTTGGCGTGCTTCAGTTTACCAGTGTCTCCCGTCTAGTGACGACTGCGCTAGAATTCTTTGTGAATACTTTGAGGCTGGGGAGGGGCTGATTTGGGGGCTTAGGGCCCTGTGGGACCCCGCCTGAGTTTTCCTACCCTCCGAGCAAGGCTTACTGTTACATGGAGTGGGGTTTTCTTCCCCCCTTCTATGTATGAGTGGGATTTGTGTTGGCCCCTCCCCAAATTCGGTTCCGTGTCCCTTCGGGTCCATTGGTTCCGTTCTCACGGCTCAATGGAAGAATTATGCCTCTAATGGATTTGTCTCCATACTGGGTTCATTATGAGGTTCTGGAGTCATCCTGGCTAGCGGACTGCCCTGTGTTGTCCTTGGGTGCTTGGAGTACTTCTGTCGTACCGCACACTTGAGTGGCGCGAGGCGCTGATGGTAGTCCAGGTTTCCCTGGGGGGTGTATTTGTGCACCTCAATGCGTGTTGTTCACCCCTGCTCCTGATCTAGGTTTTTAGCTGAAGGGCAGGGGTGAGTAGGGGTTTAGTTCAGCTAAGGGCTTGCGCACTCGTGGCCTGCTGGCTTCAGTCTTGCAGTTCTTTTTCCCTCCTGGGGTGTCTTTGGATTGGCTTCAGGGAAATGTGGTGATGCTTGGGACCATTCCTGGGTCTGGTACCTTGGTCTCAGTGGTGTGTGTGTGTCGTCTGCACTGTTGGAGCTGTTTGCGCCGGTCCTGTGGGATGTGGTGTCAGTTTTTAGCTTCGTGTCTCGCGTGTTGGCAAGCTTTGCTCGCTTCCTTGTTGGACTCTGCCCGGGCCCTGGCTCTTAGGTTTTTGTCGCCTTTTTGTCCTTTGCTGTTTGCAGAGTCTGTGGTTGGGCAGTTTCTGCAAGCAGCAGCTTCTAGTTGTCGTCTGTTATCGGACTTATTGGTCCTTCGGGGGTCCCAGGAGGGGGGATCCTCCCAGATGAGTCCTGCCTGAGCTCGAGGTTCCTTTTGTCGTGGTTGGCCGCTGGTGCCAGTTTCTGGGCCTGCGCCGCCTTCGAACCTGTCTTCGTCTGGTCGGCGCAGTGATTGCTCTGTGCATAAGTCTGGGGTTCATAGGGTGCATCGGCCCTTTCGCGGTTTGCCCCATTTTTTTTCTTTCGCCCCATTGACAAGGGAGCGGGGGGGTGGGGCTCGCTATGTTTGCTCACGATTGGTCTCACGATTCGTGGGCTTTTTCGGGTCATTGACGGCCTGTGGTGGTGATGAGTGGCCCCCTTCTCCTTTGGGGGGTTCGGGGCTGGCAGGGTGGGTCTCCTCTTCTCTGCTCTGTCGGGTCATCTTGGAGTGGGTACGCTTAGGCGTGGTCGAAGTGACGACGTCCCTCAGCTGGGTTTTCCCATCTGTTCCCAGTCCCGTTGTGCAAACCTGTGGTTCATTCTGGACTTGTCCCATGTGAACCCCTGGGTTTTTGTCGCTCTTTTTCGATGACTACTCTGTCCCAGGTCTGGCTTCTGTTAGAGCAGGGCACTTGGATGGTGTCTCTGGACTTCCGAGATGCGTATTGGTGCATCCCGATTCATCCGGGGTTTGGGGATTGGCTTGGTTTTGTTGTGGGACGTCTCGTTTATCGCTTTCGTTGTCTCTTATTCGGGTTGCATCTGCACCTCGTGTGTTCATACGCCTTACCCAGGTCATGGTGGCCCGTCTGTGTCTCTTAGGTTTTCAGGTTCTGGTCTACCTCGACGCCTGGCTGGTCTGGGCTCCCTGCCAGTCTGTGTCTGCTTGCCAGGGATTTGGTTCTTCCCAGCTCGCCGGGTTCGAGTTCCTGGTGCACTGGCGGAATTCTCATCTTGTTCCCTCTCAGGTTCGGAATGAGCTGGATCTTGTGTGGGACTCTCAGACCGTTCCTTGGCTCTTTGGGGATGGTCGCTTCGGTGTTGCGTCTGCTGAGTTCTCGAAGGGCCCAGCCTTGGTTCAGGCGCTGGTTGCTCGGTGTGTGTACCCAGGAGTTTTTCCACAGCTCTGCCTCTTTCCGATGATCGGTCTTGTCCATTATGTGGCTGGTTCGGTCTTCTCGAGTCTTCGCTTCTGGTAATTTTGACTCTTAGTCCATCACCATCTGTTTGGTGATCAGGTGACTTTGTTGATGGTGTCCCACCTGCGTGTTTCGTCTAGGCGGCAGTATGGGGTTTCCTGGTGATCCTTCCTTTTTCATTTTGTCTCTTCGTAGGTATACTGTTTTTTTTGTTGAGGTGGTCTTATCTTTTCTCTCTTGGCTGTTAAGGACCATCATCTTATGCTGTATACTATCGCCTTGTATCGTGTGGCGATGGCAGAACCGCTACAGCTTGCTTTCGGTTTTGATGTTCCTTCTACACCGTTTTGAGATCTGTCTCGGGCATTGTTTCACACGTCGCATGCACAGCATGTGCCATCCTGGTCTTTGGACAAGGTGCTCTCTTATCTCTCTTCCCTTGGGTTTGCTGTGGCCCCTTTGGTTCAGGACTGTTTCTCAGAGGTTTCTGTTCTTTTGGGTTCTGGTGATCGATTTGTTCATTTGCAGTCGTCTCTTCTTTTCTGGCAAGGTTGGGACGGCTGTTTTCTGGAGGAGTCCCTGGGGTTATTGATGCTTGGTTGGTTTGGCTGGGGGTGCATCTTCTTGTGTCCGGTTGTGGCTCTCAGCCTTTGCCTGCGTGCTGCAGCCTCTGTGGCCTTGGCCGCGTTTTGGGTTCACCCGGGTTCCCTTCATCCCTGTTCCAGGGTTCAGGTCTCCCGGGTCGTCCACAGGATCATTCGCGTTCGCGATTGCCAGTTGTCTTGCTTTCGGGATGTAATGAAACGGCATTTTCTGGGTGAGACCTGGAGGCTCCCTGTCATCCCTCCCTTCCTCCCTCCTGGTCAGCGGCTTTTTTGCGTGTTTTGACATCCAGCCTCAGAACTGAAGGTGTGGGTCTCGGGCTTCCCCTTTTCCCTCTCGGGGAGGGGGGAGGGGCGGGAGCTGCGCAGATGGTGGCGCGGCAAGTGGTGACGTTGTGTTCGTTTGCTTTGTTTTCCTTTGGGTGGGGAGTTCAGTCCACTCATTTGACTTTCAGTAATAGTTTCAACCAGAATAGGGGTTTGTTTTGGGATGCTTACCTTTCTGGGTGCCTGACCCAGTCAATGGCAGACATAGTGCTCCAAATCACATGAGCTATTCTATAGGCTATTGCTCCTTGTGCCTCTCTGAGGGGGGCCAAGTTCTGGTACGTGGTCCCCAGTAGGCCTAGAACTCCATTCTCACTGACTGATGCCAAAGTCTAATATATTATATATCAGCCTGGATAGCTCCAGGGAGCCTCCAGGTCTCACCCAGAAAATGGCATTTCATTACATTCAGTGCTGGTTTATTGGTTTAAGAACATAAAGGTTGTTATTATATATCATGCCACATTTCCAAGAAAGTCAGTGGTAATGTTCAACCTAAGAAAATAGTTGAGGATGGAGATAGAGGAAAAACAAAGAGCTCGTTTGTAGTGAGACAATGTGATGTCTCGTTACGGACAAGTTTTAAAACGTGGGGAAAAACAAGTGTCTATAAACAGATTCTTAGTAAGACAAGCAAGCAGTGAGCCACAACCAGGTCCTAGTGGTATGCCTGCAAAATGTAAGAGAGAGAGAGAGTACCCCAGAAATCTCATCACTGCTGTTATAATGGAAGGGGACTCCCCTTCCAAACACTAACACCTCTCCTCCTTCCCCCTGCCTCACTATCTTTCATACGCAAACAAGAGTCCTCAATAAAGGTAAGATATACTTGTACATACTGTAGTATAAAATCTAAGTAGTAGTATGTATAAAATTTATTTTTAAGTAAATATTTTTGGGGGTGTGGAACAGATTAACACTTTCACGGTCTGGCCGTGCTCGCGCCAGACTACCCCAAGGTGGCCTGGGTGTTTCCTATGAGCTCGTGGCAATACTGAAATGTGTACACTCTTTTCAGTTTTATCACCTCGGTTTGCTTTGTACGTCGTTCATTTTTTTTTTTTTTTTTTTTTTTGAGATATATACAAGAGTTGTTACATTCTTGTACAGCCACTAGTACGCGTAGCGTTTCGGGCAGGTCCCTGGAATACGATCCCCTGCCGCGAAGAATCGTTTTTTCATCCAAGTACACATTTTACTGTTGCGTTAAACAGAGGCTACAGTTAAGGAATTGCGCCCAGTAAATCCTCCCCGGCCAGGATACGAACCCATGACATAGCGCTCGCGGAACGCCAGGCGAGTGTCTTACCACTACACCACGGAGACATTAATTTTAGTATCAAAATGTTCACAATAGAATTCCCTACAGGAGTATATGCATATAAGGTCCAAAAGCCCAGCGTGCCACCCACACCAAACCCAAAAAATGGCCGAGCATTACCCACGAGCGTGCAAGAGCAATAAATATACCCAAATATATTCAGGTTATACCCAAATATCTGGCAAGGTCTTTTACACTCCCTTCTTCCCCATTTATTGCTTGTGTTGCTAAAAGTATTTGCCTTGTTTTGGGTAGCATACAAGATAGCTTCTTGGACCATAAATTGGAGCAAATTTTACGTCTGAAATAACTATACAAATCCCAGAGGAATGCTAGGTACAGGTACAGTCAAGCCTGGTATTCCTGTAAAACTGTCTACAAATGGTGCAGTGTTGTCACTTGACCAGGCTTCACCAAAGCTGCTGTGTGAGGTACATTGGGTACGAGCGATACGTGCGGTATGAGTGCCCTGCATGTATGGCGGTATCACTCCCCTCACTTTCAATTTCATCCTCACCAGCTGTTTCCATTTCAACGCCTTCACTATCTACATCACTGTCACTTTCGGAACTTTCGAGATCAGATTCATCAAATATAGCCTGAAATTTTGAGGTCGTGAGCCTAACTCGGCTGTACTTTTAGGGAAAGTTAAATAGCTTATCCCTCCAATGTGTTCCTTTCAATGCTTTTTTCCTGGAATGTCTCTTCTTGATCACTATCAATCGTGTAGTAAATGTAGAGAGTTTAAAGCCGTAGTAACAAATACAGTATAGCCGAGGAAAATAGCTGGAACGTAAGGGCCTCGTAGCCTGGTGGATAGCGCGCAGGACTCGTAATTCTGTGGCGCGGGTTCGATTCCCGCACGAGGCAGAAACAAATGGGCAAAGTTTCTTTCACCCTGAATGCCCCTGTTACCTAGCAGTAAATAGGTACCTGGGTGTTAGTCAGCTGTCACGGGCTGCTTCCTGGGGGTGGAGGCCTGGTCGAGGACCGGGCCGCGGGGACACTAAAGCCCCGAAATCATCTCAAGATAACCTCAAGATAACGTGCACACGTTTTGGACGAGAGGGGACGCTGCAGCAGTCACGAATGTGAGCACAATAACACTAGGCCTATTTAGTGGGTGGTGGTGCCTCGATGCCACATAGGCCAGCACAGAAAATGGGAAGACGTTGGTGCACATTTTAAAACCGATCCCATAAAGATCATATAATAACTTGAATTTTAACAAATATTTTAAATTTGGACTCACCGATGCATCCGTACCGCACATCTGTAAAGTTATTTATGAATGCAGCATGCATCGCCACCGTACAAAATTGTTAATTCAAGTTACATTACATTATTTCTTGTGGGAAAATTCATTTTGGTTTTTGAATTTTTGGTTTTCGAACCGTCTCTGGGAGCGGATTAAATTTGAAAATGGAAGTATCACTGTACCTATAACAGTGGGCTAGGTTCCAGAGCATCAAAAATGAAGTAATATAAGCTGGATGAATAAATCCATGGCTTTGCACAGCTGACACTGAACTGATAGGCTTGTCAAATTTATTGGAGAAACAAAGGTTTGTAAATTGTGTACGTACAATTATTATGTTAGATATGTAAACTTAAGTCCATCGTGCTCCAAAAACCAGGTGTTATAGAACAAAACGATTCATTTAAACTGACATCTGGTCCCTGGCTGCTAAGTGATGTCAAAGTGTGCATTAGTCGGAGAATCCTGTTATGGGTATGGTGGTGCCACGTGCTGTGGTCAGTGTAAGTGGCCACCAGCACGTGGTTCATCAACTGGTGGTGAGAGCCAACCATTTGTGCTCACCTCTGATGACGAGGAGAGCGCACAGTGGCTTAAATTTTTGTATGGGCCTTCCGCTGGGTATTCTAGGTTGGATTATATACTCTCCAGTAACTCTTAGTATGTAGGTAGAACTGTATGTGATCAGCAAGAAGCGTCTGAATAGTTCATGCGAGACCTGTGTCAGTGTTACAGGATTGCCTGACTAACCATGTTCCGGATCTACAGACATGACTTTGGGAGCAACCAAATTGGATAGCTTAAAAATTTATAATTAAATACTCTTAGTTTTAAGGGACAAATGGGAAATAGTTCCCCTCTTTTCATTGAGAGTTCATGAAGGAAGTTGTCTGGTGGTGATTATATCTGACATGAGGGCACCCCTTCAAAAGACAAGTTTCCAAAGCAGATGGAGCCAGGCTATAAAGCTGTTGATTATACAATATACATATGTAAATAACAATGGTTAAAAACTACTATTAATTCTTGCTTTTGGTCATACAGTTTTGTATGTTGTGTTTCAGCAGAACTCTATATCGCTGGGGTCCATGGGTAATCGTATAATAACCTCTGGTGGGCAAGTTGTATCCACGGTAGGAGGACTTAGTAATACCAGCAACAACAAGCCTGTAATGGTGAACACATCCCATCTTGGCGGGACACTGAGACAGCAGATGGTTGTAACGCAACCCTCTCCTCAGACGCAGCAGGTTCGGACAGTGCAGTTTAAGCAGGCACCGCAGACGCAGTCACTTAATAGTGGAGTAAGTAAAGTTTGAATTTTGTGCATACCCCACACACCTACCTAACATAACTGGAAGACAGAAGATTTAGGGAAGACATGGTTACAACATAAACAAATTATCTGGAAAATTGATATAGGGCATAGAAGGTCAAAATATAGGATGGGTTGTACACAGGTAAGAAGACATGTGTAAACTGAGTACCCAAATGAACCAGAGAGATGTTAAAAAAAAAAAGGGAAATAAAATATCAGAGAAGTAAACTAATGGAATACAGTAAGAAGTGAATGGTTGAGGCAGAATCCATATACAAATTCAAATATAAATACGATAGAGCCAAAATTTACATTCTTGTGCTGTATGCCAAGGTATACTCCTAATGTCGTCATTTCCTCCTAACAATCTCCTATTACACCTAACAAGCATTAGGCTAGCAAATGTTGCATGCGTCGTTATTTACATACAATAATTTGTTACTAATACATATAATTACAAATAATTTGTTAAATACAATTAATTTATTACATACAATATTTGTTATTGTGTAAGAGCAGATAGGCATTCTACTCAAATTTGTAAATTTTTTTCTTTAAAATCATTCCATATACCTGTACTGAATCACTGGGTTTACATTTTATCATAATATCCTTAATAGGTTTATTATTAGTATCAATCTTCTGATCAATTTTTAATTTTTCAAATTACAATACTGTATGTCTAATACTTTATAGACAGCAAACGAGATCTGACTGTCCAACACTACCAATATACTGGTATCTTATCTATCTTTCCAATATCTAATGCTTTTTCTCTCTTGCTTTCATGCTGTCTTGCACTCTTTCTTGCTTTCATGCTGTCTTGCACTCTTACTTTCATGCTGTCTTGCACTCTTACTTTCATGCTGTCTTGCACTTTCTTGCTTTCATGCTGTCTTGCACTCTTTCTTGCTTTCATGCTGTCTTGCTCTCTTTCTTGCTTTCATGCTGTCTTGCACTCTTTCTTGCTTTCATGCTGTCTTGCTCTCTTTCTTGCTTTCATGCTGTCGTGCACTTTTTCTTGCTTTCATGCTGTCTTGCACTCTTTCTTGCTTTCATGCTGTCTTGCACTCTTTCTTGCTTTCATGTTGTCTTGCTCTCTTTCTTGCTTTCATGCTTTCTTGCACTCTTTCTTGCTTTCATGCTGTCTTGCACTCTTTCTTGCTTTCATGTTGTCTTGCTCTCTTTCTTGCTTTCATGCTGTCTTGCACTCTTTCTTGCTTTCATGCTGTCTTGCACTCTTTCTTGCTGTCTTGCACTCTTTCTTGCTTTCATGCTGTCTTGCTCTCTTTCTTGCTGTCTTGCACTCTTTCTTGCTTTCATGCTGTCTTGCTCTCTTTCTTGCTTTCATGCTGTCTTGCACTCTTTCTTGCTTTCATGCTGTCTTGCTCTCTTTCTTGCTTTCATGCTGTCTTGCACTCTTTCTTGCTGTCTTGCACTCTTTCTTGCTTTCATGCTGTCTTGCTCTCTTTCTTGCTTTCATGCTGTCTTGCACTCTTTCTTGCTTTCATGCTGTCTTGCTCTCTTTCTTGCTTTCATGCTGTCTTGCACTCTTTCTTGCTTTCATGCTGTCTTGCTCTCTTTCTTGCTTTCATGCTGTCTTGCTCTCTTGCTTTCATGCTGTCTTGCTCTCTTTCTTACTTTCATGCTGTCTTGCTCTCTTTCTTGCTTTCATGCTGTCTTGCTCTCTTGCTTTCATGCTGTCTTGCTCTCTTTCTTACTTTCATGCTGTCTTGCTCTCTTGCTTTCATGCTGTCTTGCTCTCTTTCTTACTTTCATGCTGTCTTGCACTCTTGCTTTCATGCTGTCTTGCACTCTTTCTTACTTTCATGCTGTCTTGCTCTCTTTCTTGCTTTCATGCTGTCTTGCTCTCTTGCTTTCATGCTGTCTTGCTCTCATTCTTACTTTCATGCTGTCTTGTGCTCTTGCTTTCATGCTGTCTTGCACTCTTTCTTACTTTCATGCTGTCTTGCTCTCTTTCTTGCTTTCATGCTGTCTTGCTCTCTTACTTTCATGCTGTCTTGCTCTCTTTCTTACTTTCATGCTGTCTTGCTCTTTCTTGCTTTCATGCTGTCTTGCACTCTCTCTTGCTTTCATGCTGTCTTGCTCTCTTTCTTGCTTTCATGCTGTCTTGCTCTCTTGCTTTCATGCTGTCTTGGACTCTTTCTTGCTTTCATGCTGTCTTGCTCTCTTTCTTGCTTTCATGCTGTCTTGCTCTCTCTCTTGCTTTCATGCTGTCTTGCAGTCTCTCTTGCCCTATCTCTCACTCTTGCTCTCTGGTGTTCTTGTTCTCTCTACCTCCCCCACCAGTTTTCCTCCCCCAGCCTGTAAGCACTGGAGCCCTTGTACTCACCACACTACTGTTTATACTGAGATATGTTGATCCTGGGATACTCTTCTTGATAGCCTTCGTATAATTTAAATTGCCGAGTTACGGTACTTTGATTTTATCCGTGAAAATGTAAAATAGCTACAGTTTCAATTACACCTTCAACAGACTGTAACAAAAGTGATTATAACAAGTCAGGCTGGTGGTACCCTTGGTACCATGGGAGGCCAGCAGCTTCAGCTCGTCACCAGTCAGAGTGGTGGCGGCGGTGGTAGTCAGGTGACGTCTTCTCCGACGAAGCTCACACTGCAGCAGGCACAGCGCATGGGTCTTATATCACCATCAAAACCTCTGAGTCAGTCTCCCAATAAGGTCAGTAATAGGTGTAGTTGTGTTTAAGTAAGGCAGTTTTGATTAAATTTCACCAACATAGACGGTCTAAAATCTGGTCAAATCAAGAATTTGTTATTTCTACAGCATAGGATCCATGTCTATGTCTGCATTTGATGCTCATTTATTTAGGGTACCTTCTCTTGAGGGACAATCTTGGAAAAGAATGCAGGAATATACCATTCCTGTGTGATAAGTGTTAGAATGGTACCTGTATATAGAATATATAGAATGGTATATAGAATGGTATAATTGGTCAGCAGATGTCATAGGAATTTGTTTTCATGCTATCAGCTTATCTGCAAGCCATCCCCCTATTGTCTGTGAAAGTTGACTGTCTGAGAAGAGGTCGGAAGAAAATTATAAACATTTGTTAAAGAATTCTACGTGCTAATTTAGTCATCACATAAAAATTGGAAAAAGACCATTCACTAAGAGGGCAGTATTGAAGTAGGGAAAATTAGAGCATACCACCTAACAATGCACTCTGTAAATATCCTTCGTTGGTGGAAGATGCAATCCCCCATTTACTTTTAATTTATTGACATGATCACCATAGACAATGAAGCTTAGATTTATAACTTTAATGATGAAACAAATATGATGTTTCATATTTGTTTTCACGTGGGGAAACTTCCAGCTCACCGACACCATAATAAACACCGCACCAACAGTCATCACCTGGAAAAGTAATGAGAGTGATTATGATTTTTGATTGAATGCATTGTGTATTTTGAATTTGTTCCAGCAGGGACATCTGTCTTTCAGTACTACAAGCTAGTGTATCATGCTCCCTCATTGACCAGACCACACACTAGAAGGTGAAGGGACGACGACGTTCCAGTCCGTCTTGGACCATTCTCAAGTTGATTGTGAGAATGGTCCAGGACGGACCGAAACGTCGTCGTCCCTTCACCTTCTAGTGTGTGGTCTGGTCAACATACTTTAGCCACGTTATTGTGACTCATCGCCTGCATGCTCTCCCATTGTAAAAGATGAGAAAAATATGATAGTTCCCTGGCCCCTGGATTGCAGCAATGTGCTATTTGACAAACACCAATGTGTGAGTCGTTTCATTCAGCCTCATCGTCTCAGAGCATGGACACACACGCCTCTTGATTATAGATACTGCCCCATGGGGGACTTTTTTTTTTTTTTTTTCTTGTTCCCCAAACTCAAAATAGTCCTCCTAAGATATTCAAAACATTTAAGTTATTCTCCACACACACGTCATGTGAATAATTGTCATGTTACCTTCGCAAAAAAAAAAAAAACTCTGAAATGCTGCCAGAATGGACTCGCAAGCCAAATGAGAAGCCAAATGCATTTTATTCACCTATAAGCATGAAATTTTGGAAGATAGTCAATATGTGAATCTACGCGAATCTATGTCGTTGGTACCAAGAACATCATGATTTTTGTTTCATTTTTTTGTAAATTGTGTTTGTAAATGCAGTATTACAGTTTCATTTTAAGATTTAATCCCATTATATAATTTTTTTTTATTAAACAATAATCATAATTAATAAGAATTTAGACATTATGATAATTCATTATTTAATTCAATTGCATTTTATGTGAGTCAGTGACAGTTTTGACATTTTGTCACAATTGACAAACCAAAGGACTTGCCATCACATCCCCCTCCCCGCTCAGCTCGTTGTCGCCGTGTGGGGGCTTCGTGGGCGGCTGCCGGAGTGTGATGCTCCTTCGGACAGTCCTCTGTCCTTTTCTAGCCTTGTGCTCTTGCTGCCGTCCTCTCCAATTCTGCTGGGCACCTTTTCCTTTTCCTTCTGTTTCGTTTTTCTCCCCCCTCTTCTCCTATCTGCTTGCCGTTTCCTGCCGACCTTTTGCTCGTTCTGGTTCTTCCATGGACTTCTTCTATTTTGACGCCCGGGTGCTTGAGGAGGCATACTCATGCACCCGTAGAACTGCAGTACCCGACGTCGAGAGCGAGGGGAACCTTTTATTGTCAATCCCCACTTCGTCACTGAACCCGATCTCGACGGACTGTCGGTTTCTTAAGGTGGCGTTTGTGGGGCGTATACTCACGACGCACCCCTAGGAGGCCCCGACAAGATCGGCGATAGCTTCTTGTTGGGTGTCCTGCCTCTAATTGTGGCTCCATGGTGGGTGTGGGGGCACATTCGTGAGTGAATTTTTCTTTTCGTCACGATGAAAACCCCTGTTTCGGCTGCTTCTGGCTTCCCTTTTCAGGCTCGTGGGGTGGGCGACCAAGCCCCCGAGTCGGTCCGTATTGGAAGACCGGGCTCTGTAGCCTCCGCTGCATTGGGCCCCGACCTTGCTCCTCCTTTGGCCTCTCTGACTCCTTCCCCTGGCTCCCTTCCCTCCTCTGTGGTTGGGTCGAGCCCCAAGCCCCCAGTGGTGACTACCTCGTCCCCTGGCGTGGCTCCTTCTCTAGTTGTAACTACTGCGCCTTTTAACCCCTCTCTCTCTGGGGGTTCTCACCGCCGTCCTCGTCACGGCCGCCCTCGCTCGATTCCTTCGAGGTTCTGCTACCAATCAAGCCTTGTTAGGTCCCGCTTCGTGGGCCAAATATTTTGATCTCCTCCCTCTTGATTCTGCGCCTCCTGACGATTTCTCCCTTCATCGACATCTCATTGATTCCGTGGATGCCTCCATTACTTTCAACCCCACTCGTCTCGGTACACGTGTCGTTGCTGCTCCTTCTCAGGATGCTGCTTCCCGCTTGGCTGCCTTGTCCTGCCTTGGCGAGACCCCCGTTCGGGTCTCGAAAAACGCTCAGTTGAATGCCAGTGTTGGCACTATTTTGCTCCCGCCCCATGTTGCAACCGGTGTTCGGGACCTGCGCGACTGCCACGACGATATTCGACATATCCTCGCTGCCCAGGGCCATTCTATTCTCCAGGTGGACACGTTTACTCGTCCCCCTCGTGGTAGTCGCCGTCAACCCCTCCGGGTTGTGAAGATTACCTTTGATGGTAGGACCCTTCCACCCTCTGTCATTCTTGCTGGTGCCAGGTGCTCTGTCCAGGAGTACATTCCTTCTCCTCGGCTCTGCAACAAGTGCTGGAGGTTTGGGCATGGTGCCCTCCGCTGCTCCGGGACTGTCTCTCTCTGTCCTTTGTGTGGTGGCGAAGGTCACTCTAAGTCGGAGTGCACTTCTCCCCAGGCTCGTTGCCTCAACTGCGGTGAGGCCCATCCTACCTTCTCCCGTGCGTGTGTCCATTACAAGCTTGAGGCAGCCGTCCTCAACCTGAAGCACCGGGAGCGTTTATCTTTTCCTGAGGCGAGGCGCCAGGTTCGCCGGCTCCCGCCTTATGCTAATATCTCTTATGCTCGCGTGTTGCGCTCTTCCTCTCCTCGTCCTTCCCGCCTTCCTCAGACTCACAACCGTTTCCGGGCCTTGGACCCTGATGCGCCCACTGCCCCCTCCTCTGTTCCTTCGGGTTCTCTCCCGAAGGATCCTCCTCCTGGTCCTCTGTCTGGGGTTCCCCTTCCTTCTACCCGGTCTGCCGTGTCTTCTGTGTCTTCTTCCTCGTCCCCCTCCGGTCCTCCTTCCCATCCTCTTCCTCCATCTATCAGCTCTCCTCACCGCCTGTCGGTGCGGGCGGATGTCCATCGCTCTCCTACCGGCCGTCGTGTGTGCTCTCGTTCGGCTTCTCCGGTTGAGACACTGGAATCCGTTGCCCGGTACGTAGTTGCTGGGACACCGGTCTCTTTAAGTCAGAAGCGTAAGCCTGGCTCCTCTCCTTCCTCTTCCCCGGCGGGTAAGAAGGCTTCGCTTTCTTCCTCAGCTCCTCCTTCTGGCTCTGTTGCTCCTTCCCCTCCCATTTCAGTGCTTGCGCCCCCTGTTCCTGCTATGGAGGTTTCTTTGGACCCTGCTTCCCTTTCGGTTCCTGCTCTTGCTGGGGTGCGCTCCCCTCTTTCTACTCCCCCTCCTCCTGCTGCTGTCCTTGACGGATCCTCTCCGTTGTCTCCTCCTCTTCCTCCTCCTCCTCCTCCTCCTCCTCCTCCTCCTCCTCCTCCTCCTCCTCCTCCTCCGGACCCTGCCCGCCCACCTCTGATCTGTTCTCCCGTTTCCTTCCCTCCGTCTTTGCTCAGTTTACCCATGCCCCCTAACCCTGACTTTGCTGACCCTGATCCCGACCCTGATATTCTTTAACGTGCTCTGTTGCTCTTTCGCCTTTGTTTCTTCCTTGTTCTCTGTTTTTGTCCTTTATCTTCTCGTCGTTGTCCATTCTTCAATGGAACGTTCGAGGTTATTACGCCAATTTCCTCGAACTCCAACTTCTGGTTTCGCGGTTTTCGCCCCTTTGTGTCTGTCTCCAGGAGCCAATGCTTGGTGCTCGTCCTGGTCGTTTTCGTGGCTATTCCTTTCTCTCCCCCCCCCCAGCCATTGCTGGGGCTTCTAATTCTTCTGCTCTCTTGATTCGGGCTGATGTTCCCTTTGTTCCTTTACTTTTTCCTTCGCCTCTCCATTGTTCTGCTGCTCGTATCTTTGTGGGGAAATGGTACACAGTTTGTTCCATTTATCTCCCCCCGAGTGTCCCGCTCTCTCTTCCTTATTTGAAACACCTCCTAGACTCCTTGCCGGAGCCTGTGCTCCTGCTGGGTGACTTCAATTGTCGTCATTCTCTTTGGGGTGACGTTCTGACGAATACCCGGGGTCGCCTCCTTGAGCCGTTTCTCCTCTCTTCTTCCCTGTCTCTTCTGAATTCTGGTGAGCCCACTCATTTGGACTCTCGAACTCGCACCCTTTACTTTCTTGTCTTGATCTTTCTCTCTGCTCTTCTTCTCTTTACTTAGATTTCACGTGGCAGGTTCTTGATGACCTCCATGGAAGTGATCATTTCCCCATCCTTGTTTCCTTTTTCTCTTTTCGCCCTTCCCTCTCTTTCCCTAGGTGGCAGTTTGCTAAGGCGGACTGGACCCTATTTTCCCTCAGTGCTACTCTCTCTGACCTCTCCCTTCTGCCCCTCTCTCGCGCTCTCCTCCTT